TTTTTTATAGGATAAAATAGTAGTACGAGAGGTATGAAGCCATCCAATCTTTAGGGGAGACAACGTAACTGTAGGTCTGTAGCCTTATTTTTTTTTAAATTTGATTAGCGGTGTCCATGTAAACATTAGGTACGTAGTATGCACTAATTTTAAGATAATCTGTGATCTGTGGTGACAACAGCCTGCCGGGATCAATTCTGAATCTACATCCAGGGATCCATTCAATCACACACAAAAAAAAATCATCAAAATCGGTCCAGCCGTTTTGGAGGAGTTTAGTGACATACACACGTACCAGAAGAATTATTTATATAAAAGACGAATATATTTTCAAAAATATGTAAATATACAATTAACATGGTTTCGAATGTCTTTATATATCTCAAAACTTTTAAACAAGATTGTACAACTAAAATATGTATATTTATTTATAATTTGTATTTCATAATCAATGAAAAACTAAAACAGTTATTTCGTTACTGTAGGCCGTCTGAGGAAGCTCAAGATCGCTCAGCAAACTCTGGAGAGGGCCATGCTCGGAGTTTCTTTGCGTGATAGACTTAGAAATGAGGACATCCGTGGTAAAATAGATTAACCGATATAGCAAAACAGGTTTGTAAGCTGATAGCGGCCATGTAGCTCGAAGATTTAGCAACCGCTGGGGAAAAAAGCGAGTGGCAGCCTCGTATCAGTAAGCGAAGTGTAGGGCGGCCCGCACTAGATAGTATACACGAGGAACCCGGGTTCGATTCCCACCGGCATCAATAATATTGTTAATTGCAATTTAAGTGCTGATTTTACTACATACTCGGCGGTGAAGGAAAACATTGTGATGAAACCAGCATGTCTGAGAAATAAGAAAAATATATATATTTCGAAGCCATGTGAAGCCTCTCATAAATTAAAGTAATAAGTAATAATAATTATTGGTTATTTCCACAGGCTATAATGTTACTGACTAAAATAACATATTAAAACGAACTAGTTTGGTCTGTCTGTCTGTCTGTCTGTTTGTTCCAGCTAATCCCCGAAACGGCTGGACCGATTTCGACGGGACTTACTGGCAGATAGCTGATGTTATAAGGAGTCGCTTAGGCTACTTATATTTTAGAAAAAGAATTAGGGTTCCGCGCAACATAATTAAAACCCTAAATTACACGCGGGCGAAGTCGCGGTGAACAGCTAGTCGGTAATGAAATAAGTTACAGTAAGCATATCGTCAGTCGTTGATTTGCCACGTCGAAAACCATAATGTGTGTGTGTGTGTGTGTGTTATTTTTTTTTTCAAAATTGTACTAAACGGATACTTTAAGATTTTTTTTAAATTTTTGGATAGTGATGATAATATTGATATTGACCTGTAATTAAAGACAGTCTCTGTTTCCACTCTGTTGAATCGGTATATCGATATGACATTTTAAGGACTCTTGGAAAGACACCAATATGCATGCAGTTATTACTCGTAAGTGAATGGAGGAACGAGAAAATTTTTATAAGATTTCAACAACTGATTAGAAATACGATCTCAACCTATAGAACACTCATTTTTTAGATTCAAAATCGATCTTTCAATTTCCACTTCATAAGTTTCAAGCAAAACAAAAGAGTTTGTATGCAAAATGCTAAGTCTGTTATTGATTGAGTTGTGATTAGGATTATGGAAGTTATTAACAAGTTTCTTGCCATTGTTGACAAAACAATTATTTACGTTAATTGTTAAAAGTTCTTTGACAGCGTTTTTATTTTTGATATTATAAGTTATGTCCCGAATAGCTTTCCATATTTTTACTTCCCACCCTCCCTTAATCGCGTGCACTACTAGTCTACCCGTCGCCGTCAATCCCAGCTGGAATCCCAGCTGGCCAGACCAGGCTCGTCTTAGCGGCCAGCCTCCGCAGAGTCTACTTCACCTAGAGATACCTCGTGTAGAGGCGAAACACGCGTCGTATTTTCGAGAGTGGTGTGTCGTGCCTAGTGTGGTGGTGCTGGGATTGACGGCGACGGGTTTAGTGCACTCATTCTCTTTCTTTACGCGGAATTAAGCAAATTAGTTTATAACAACCCCATTATAATGGATTTCCGCAAAGTAACTCCTGATTCCATTAACTATCTTATAAAAACGCTAAAATTGCTAAAACGCTAAAATTGTTCCCAGCCTATAATAAGACTGTCCTCCCATTGATACTCAGGCTCCACAACTGAAAAATGTTGATTGTTCTGTTTATATACTACAACTCCGTCGTTTTTGTTGATATTATTTTGAATAAGTATAGAAAAATGTGCAATATTACTTTATATTTCATCACTTAGCTCCTATATCGTTATTATTCGTAATTACATGATTATTCCGTATACCTCCCTACGTAGGTTTTGTGTAGAGGCTGTTGTGTGTAGAGTCCGACATCCTTACACTGGCAAAGTTGTTACTTAGTTTTAGTCTGCGGGGTTTGTGTTACGATTCTTGCGATCAAATGATGGGAATTTTCCGCCTTCATTTAGTCACCAAAGTGTCAACACAGTGACCCCTGCACTGTGCGCAAATGAAGTTGCAATTTGGGGAAGAAGTTCGCACAGTTCCCCATTACATCCGAATTCTTTCTTGAAATGTAACAATAAAAACAGATATTACTAATTATAAACATTACGTAAACGTAAAAAGAATATAATTATATGATTGACGATCGAATAAGTTTGTGTTCTCTGCTGCTGTCGTGGCCAGAACAATGAATTTTAGCCGTTAATCGGTTCATAGAGATTACAAATGGTTTTTAAATACTGCTCTATATCAAAGAAGATCTGGATCAGGAAGAAATCGTGTCACTTCGCAGAGAAATAACTGTTTTATTGCTATCACTGCGTAATCAGCATCTACGTGAGGAACGTGGAATAGCCATAAGTGACAGTACAGTGAGACGAAGACTTCGGAAACAGAATGTTACACTACATAAACCAGCAACGGGTCCAACATTAACCACAGCCCAGTGACAAGTTAGCTAGACTCTAGCTTGCTGGGGATCACGTCAACTGGACTTTGACCCAATAGGAGTGTAATATCCTTTCCGATGAGTGTCGAACCAAACGAATCGGAGATATTCACTGGGTACTTGAAGGTCATAATTCGAACCATGTAGTGACTGATAAGAAGCCCGGAGTTAAAACTAATAGAGCATGAATGAGAGGAGCTAAAACAAATGGTTAGAGCTCGAAATATAGCTCCCACGACTCTTTAGGACTTGGAATTTGACTTCACATGACATCATCAAAGTCACATAGGATAGTGGAGTATTATTAACATTTAACCCAATAATTAAAGTGCTAAACACCAATACTGGTAAAAAATAAAAATGTGAAAATGAAATGTCGCCAAACTTTATTTTAAATTTTTCATAATCAAGTGTTTTGCTTCCTTTTTAAACCTTTACTTTTTTGTTATTTTTTCATAGTTTTTTTTGCATACACAGATTGTACAAGACGATGTATTATTAGGTGAACATCTGAATTTTCAATTGTCAGCTTATATAAAAGTAAAATTTATAGTAAAAAAGTTACAGAATGAAATTACTCAATTTTAAAATTTTATTTTTACACAACTGTAATTTTTCATTTGTTTAAGTCGTATATTATCCTATGAATGAGCTTTATCTGAGTATTGAAATATCGGATTGATTTAATTCTAAAACATAAAAACTGTGTTTTAGGGGGAAAAATTGATTCTGTTTGACAATCGCAAGCGCTTAGCAAGTTGTTAGGTGCTGGTTCACCTCAATAACGCCCTAAACGAGAACTTACCCCTAGAAAAGTGATGGTCACTGTTTGTTGGTCTAGCGCCGGTGTGATTCGTCACATCTTCTTACCAAACGGGATGAGCATTACTGCAGATGTGTACTGTGAAGAACTGAACACAATGATGGAGAAGCTCGCACTACTTCAACCACCTTTCGTGATTATGATTTCTATAACTCTGTTTGGATATTTATCCTTTACAATCAACGACTAAATATGTATGTCTACAATCTATTTCGACTCTTATTATAAGCCTTGCTTATTTATGCTCTAATATTTATTAGATCTAAGGTTTATTATTTAGGTTTACGCTTATTACACTTTTTTGTACGTCCGCTCTTGGATTGTTTGGATGTTGTGGCAACTCATAATTTCACTTCGATTACTAGCATATTATATCGTTCGAGCAAACTACTGATTATTTCATACACAATTTTTTAACAATGTCTACACTGGTCTCTTGTAATTTAGTATCTATTATTAGTATATGTATGATGAGGTAGAGTACAACCACGGCTTAAAAGAGCTAACTTTAAACTGTGGTACAGTTGAAGTGTTACTGCAATACTGCAACGAAGCATGATATAAAACCCAAGTTTTCTTTACTTCCATATTTCTATTATTTCCTTATTAGCGGGCAGATAAGTGTTAGGAACTTAATAAACAATTTCTAGTTTGAGACCAACTAGTTAAGATTGGTAAATAAATATTAATACTGCGTAAGTTGTGCCATTCCACTTCTTTAAAGAAACGCCGAGTTTTCGTTGCACTGTGTGGTCATATGAGTTAATTAAGTTAGTTGTTAAGTAATAGATTAGTTGAATGTTAACTTAAGTGGTTATTATTATTTCAATTAAACACTGAACAAGCAGTTGTGATAACGAGGCGTATCATTACGCGAGTGTTGGAGGGTAGCAGGCACAGGCAGTGTAGTAGGGCACGCAACGCATGTGGCGACGCCGGGCGGCCGCGCAACGCGTCGCATCTGGTGGTCGGCGCGGGGAGCGCGGCGGGGGCTAAAATTAGTACCGGAGCGCCACGTGCGCTCCGACACCGTACTGGCATCAGTCCGCGCGCAACCACCACTTTAGACGCTCGCTCGCACCGAAGTCAGTGTTTACACTAAAATCTATCTCGTAGACTGATCCGCAGTAGCGGCGTCAGTGACAGTGTTTGGGGAGTGCAAGGTGGCCGGCGCAACGGAGGCGGTGCAAGGCATGTTGATGGCGGGCGCTTTGCCGGCCGAGCCCGAGGGGCTGCTGGCTTTGGGCGCTCTGCCCGGACAGAAAGACACCACATGGACTAAGCTCTTCGTAGGAGGACTGCCATATCACACGACAGACAAAAGCCTGCGGGAGCATTTCGCCGTTTATGGTGACATTGAAGAGGCAGTCGTTATCACAGACAGACAGACGAGTAAAAGCAGGGGATATGGATTTGTAAGATATTTTTTATATTTTTTCGCTAATCGAATTTTAAGTATTAATATAACAGTTTTGCGAGTGCCAAATCTACACATAATTCAATGCTCGCGCGCACTAGCGTCGAGCTGGCGCTGAAACAGTCATATCGCACCTTATCGCACCTCGAATGTTACCTATCGTACATAAGCATTCAAGTTGAACTTACACACACACACTTGTATGTACAAGTCATATCGCAAAATTATATCAAACACGGAAGTTTTGCACGCTTGACACCTAAAGTATACATAGCAAACAAATACTCCACAATTAACAAAAATTGCAATATTTCTCATTTATTGATTTGAAATTAATTACAGGTTTATAAATTGCATTCCGCGGTACGATAATTTTTCATCCAATTATAAACAGTCATTCGACGTCCTAGTGTTTAGAATGAATTACCACTGAAGCGGAGATTATAGCTTTAGTCGTATGGTTGCAAGCTTCGCTAGGATTTCACGTTTGATGTAGTTTCACAAACTCAAATGAACAGATGCGTTCAATCATCACTTTAAAAAATATTACTATGAGTTTCTAAAACGTAATAAAGCTTGAGGCTTTTGTATAGTGCGAGTGGGGCTCGTGGGAAATGAATCACAACCCCATTTTCAATTCAGCTGGGGTAGACCCCGTCTGAGGGAGGGTACAAGTCCTAATGCACCCTCCTGTGACATCCAAATAGCTGTAATAATAGCAATGCACCGTTCACATAGATCGTGCAATATTTAATAAAGAAAACTAATTTAAAAAAAAGATTATTTGTAACACTATAATCGCTTAGTGCTCCACTTGCTCATTGGATAGAACCTCAGAGGACGTTAGTACGACGGGACGTGCTGAAGGACTTGTTAAAGACAAAAGGCCGTCATTTGATATTGTACGGGCGGAGACGTATACAATATAATCCCTTCACGTAACTCTAGGTAGCGCGGAAAAGGTGCACAAGTCATTCATATATTGTAAAGAATACTTTAAATTTCCATTTAACAAAATTTGCTGAAAAAACAGCATAATCATTATCGTTTTTAGGGTTCAGTACCTCAAAAGGAAAAAACGGAACCCTTATAGGATCACTTTGTTGTCCGTCTGTCTGTCTGTCAAGACCCTTTTTCTCAGGAACACGTGGAGGTATCAAGCTGAAATTCATATCAAATACTCAAGTCTACTGTCCCTTAGAGCTGTGAAAAAATCAAACTTCTAAGCCTACGCAATCAAAAGATACAGCCGTTTATGCCGCAAATTTTCAACATTCGCAAGGGAATCAAAACCTACAAGGTACTTCCCGTGAACTCAGAATCTTAAAATTTGGTACGAACCAACGTATTATAGCACAGATAAAGGAAAAATTGTGAAAAGCATAAATTTTCAGTTAGATAATGTAATAAAAATATTTTTAATATATTTAAACTTATATACCTACGGATTTGTTCGGAACCCTCGGTGCGCGTGTCCGACTCGCACTTGGCTGGTTTTTTTTATCGAGAATATAGTCATCTCATCATTTACACACAATTTTACGAAAACTATTAAATCTTATCACAACTGATTAAAGTTCAAAATCCTTGAAATTGTGGACATTATACAGTCACATAGCAAAATGTAATTGTGTATTACAATTTTACAATGTAATTTATAAGGTGGTAGGGTAGTCGTTTTCAGTCCAGGAGCTCATTGTATAGGTAGCATCCTCTTACCTGTTACTGCCGGCAAGAAGCTCTGGTTTAAAGAGTAGGAGAGCTGGTACAATTAAAGGTTTGTATGTATATTATTCTTTACTAAGTCTTCAGAGGTGAAATTTATCAGCCTTTGTTTGAAATTGATTGCAGCTGTCGATAGGCTGCAGTAGAAACTTTCCGTCAGACTCTTACCTTTTCGATTTAATGTTGTTCATAAAATAAATTTTATTTTAAACCTATACAAATTAACCAGTAATTAAAATAAGTTCAAAAAGTCAAACAGAAATAAGTATTGCATTCACACATTATATACCTAAGTATTTTTTTAAGATGGTTCTATTTTTAAAAATTAATCACTAACATAAAGCGTAAGGGTAAGTTACCTCACCTTTACAGACTACTGTAAAGGTGAGGTAACTGCTACTATATTATCGAGAGTTTCTTGTACAATTACGGTATTCTTACAGTATTATTACAGCGCTGTCGCTCCTTAATTTTTTTATTAGCCTTTTTTATTAGCCTTTTTTATTAGCCTAAATTTAATAACATTGTATTAGTTGTTGAGGCGTGGCGTACATTTCGCTGTGAAACTGTTGGGCGGCTCAGATATGAGCCCGCCTCCCGGCTACGACTCGCTACGTCGTAGATATCAAGTCATTGAGATAAACTCATTTAGCTTGTTGTGATCTGTCCTCAAACTGGCTTTATGATATTCAGACGTTTGTTTTATTCAAAATGGAAAATGAAAACTTGGCTATTATACAACAAAATGTTATTAAAATGCATTATTATAATCTATACAAATAAATAAAATTTAAGTGTATGTTTATAATATCAAAATAACAGCTTATTACTAAATGCATATGAAAGTATATACGGTACTTACAACAAAACACAATTTTTAAAATGTTTGTCTGTCTGTCTGTCTGTCTGTTGGTCTGTTTGTTCCGGCTAATCTTCGAAATGGCTGGATCGATTTCGGCGGGACTTTCACTGGCAGATAGCTGAAATTATAAGGAGTAACTTAGGCTACTTATATTTTAGAAAAAGAATTAAGTTTCCGCGCTACATAATTAAAACCCTAAATTACACGCGGGCGAAGTCGCGGGGAATAGCTAATCTCTATAACAATCTTTTGCTGTCCATTAGTCGCGCTAAAACTCAAAATTGGCTCAACCGATTCTGATGAATTTTTTCGTGTGTGTTGTTCGAGTTGGTCGCTCTGTTTTAGATTCACAATTGGACTCGGTAGGTGGCGCTGTTGTTGAGATCCAGAAATCACCCTTGCGAAGCGGGGGCGAATCGCTAGTCTATACAAATAAATAAAATTGAAGTGTCTGTTTGTAATGTCGAAATAACAGCTTTTTACTATACGCATATGAAAGTATATACGGTACTTATAACAAAAACACGATTTTTAAAATTTTTGTCTGTCTGTCTGTCTGTTTGTTCCGGCTAATCTCCGGAACAGCTGGACTGATTTTGACCGGAATTTCACTGGCAGATAGCTGATGTTATAAGAAGTAACTTAGGCTTCTTTTAATTTAGAAAAAGAAATAAGGGTTCCGCGCAAAAAATTTAAACCTATGAAATCCAATCGTAATAAATTTAGCGCGGGCGAAGTCGCGAGAACAGCTAGTAAATAATAAATAAAAACTCCGAGAACAATTTTTTACAGAAATAGAAACAACTTCAAACACGTGTAGACAAAAATGAAAATATAATCAAATTATAGTTCTAACACAACATTTATTTGAAAAAAAAAGAGTCTAATGTATATTATTTTGTACCAATTTTAGTAAAACACCTTTTGGTACGTAAATAAAATAGATCCTGAAAACAAGACAGACACTGTTTTATTTATTATAAATCTATAGAAAATATCGTGTAATCACGTTAATAAGAAAACCAAATAAAAAATGTTAAGTTAACATAAGTCATTATATTTTAATTTCTGTAGTAAAATAATTCATTTCAAACCCCGACATTAAATAGCTTAGCATAACCTGACGTATTATGATAAATTAATAATTGGTTTCCCTTAATAGACACCCTTAATTGAGACCCTTTTTACTGGACACGAGGCATTCCATCTTATTCCTCACGGGTGACAACGCATCTGCATTTTGATTCGTCATCGAGAATAGATGTAGATGTATATGGACCACAGCAAACATTTACAATCAGGTGGACTCGTTTGTCACTCTTTACTATAAATAAACACATTTATTTAAATTGATTAAGTTAATAATAGAAACAATCATTGTTTGTAATATTAATAGAACATAGATAATATTCAAGGTGTATAACGGACAATTAATGTTTTAAGTTGTGAATATTTTAACATACACTTAGTAGGATAGCGTATTGTGTTGTTTTTTTCTTCTAGCCTGCAAAAGCGAACTGCTGAACAGGGTTCTGTTTCATTCTGGACTGGGGTCTGTCTGGTTCTAGTGAGGATTTCTCATAATCGTAGGTATTGTAATAAATTATAAATTAATTGTAGGTATCGTTTGTGAAACCAAATTACTCGTGCATTGAATATCACAAATATTAAAATATATTTATATTGAGATATAGGTACAGAATATTATTCTGATATTATATATAACATCCCCGATATCCACGACTTTTTCTGCCACCAGGGCGGCGCCACTTAAAAATGAGGTATAATATTTGACAGATTTCATAGCGGGGTAGTTAATTTGTTCGTAAAATGTAAAAGGTTTCTTACTGCACTTTTAGTCATATTTTATATAAATGGGATAAAAAATAAATAAATAAAATATAAATTTAAAAAAATTAATTGGATTTATAAAATTTTAAAAAAGCAATGATTATAAAATATTTTTTTTTATTTATGTGTTATCGTTATATGGTTAAACTTTATATAGGTGAAAAATATAATCAGCTAATATTGAAAGTGAATGAAAATGTAGAAATGAAGTTTGGCATAGGCACATTATCAGGAAAACGGAGAGATTTACTTCGATTCCTGATCTTAAAAATTCGGGAAATATATTATTTTAGCAGTTTATAAAACTAGCAGGCTTAATTCGACTGTATTTCCTTTTCAATGTAACACGATCTATAATCAGTTAATAGCTTAACAGTAAGGTGATCGGTGACGGTGATAAAATAAAAAAGTTGAAATTCGAAATTACGAGTGCTAATTAATATAATAAGATTTCAATTATTTGACACCGTACTAAAACAGTTAATTGAGACTTATTACCAGGTAAATGAATAAAGCTTATACAGTCTTGTTAAAATCGTGTTTAACTTCAAAATTCGGTA